GCCTTCACTTGCTGACACACCAGACACCCATCCACAAACTTTGTCGTCTGCCTCTTCAAGCCTCGCCACCAGAACGATTTCCTCAGGTCCTGATACATCTTCGTGCTACCAGGATGGATGGTGTACGAGGCACTATGGGCCTCCTTCAGAATCTCTCTCCGCAGTTCCCACACCCTCGGAACAAAAGTCTACCCTCGAAGACCAAGGCTCCATCGGATGCAACTGCGAATCCACCAATTCTACCGGCTGCGGACAACTCTCTCATCCGGCATAGGAAACGGTCATTCGGTTGCTCGACGACTATCCTCTCTCGAAGAGTCGGTCCCACAACCAAAGAGGTCAAAACACTCCCGGCTGACGAAGTCGACCGCCTTTTTTGGCACCTTGTTAAGCTGTGACGATGAATCATAAGCGCCACCGCCTCCAACTGCAATCGCTCGAACTCCCGAAGAAGAACATCCTGCTAGGTGAACACGCAAGACAACTTGCCATGGCTCCTCCGACTAAGGGCGTCGGCCACTACATTAGCTTTCCCAGGGTGGTAGCTAATGGTGCAGTCGTAGTCCTTGACCAGCTCCAACCACCTACGCTGCCTCATGTTCAGCTCCTTCTGAGTGAAAATGTACTTTAAGCTCTTGTGGTCGGTAAAGATCTCGCACTTGCCTCCATAGAGATAGTGCCGTCAAATCTTCAAGGCATGGACAACTGCAGCTAACTCAAGATCATGAGTGGGGTAGTTCTGCTCGTGAGGCTTCAGCTGCCTCGAAGCATAGGCTACGACTTTCCCTTGCTGCATGAGAACACAACCCAAACCCATCTTCGAAGCATCACTATAGACGGTGAACTTCAAAGTAGGGTCGGGTATGGCTAGAACCGGTGCTGTAGTGAGTCTCCTCTTCAACTCCTGGAAACTCTCCTCACACTGTGCACTCCAATCGAACCTCACGGCCTTCTTCGTAAGGTTGGTCAGCGGCTGGGCTATCTTCGAGAAGCCCTCGATAAACCTCCTGTAGTATCCTGCTAACCCCAGGAAACTACGAACATCTGCGGCACTTCTTGGTGTATCCCATTTGCTGACCGCCTCGATCTTGCTGGGATCCACCTCAATGCCACGAGCGGTCACGATGTGGCCAAGGAATGCCACACGCTGCAGCCAGAATTCGCACTTCGAGAACTTAGCATACA